TCAGTATGAGTTTAGGAGCTGAGCTTAAATTTTGCTAATGTAAAACCCTTGGCCAACATATTTGTAATTTCTTAATGCTAGGACACTCATGAAAGTGCTGCCAGAAAAAAAAGCAGAGGCTTCACATTAAGCAAAATGCAACATTTCAGGTCTTATAACCTACACTCTGACTTAAAGGAAAACTGATCTGACTTGGTGAAAGTTTTTTATCAGCAAAGCTGCATTTACATAGTTTTTCTGAAATCATGGGATCTACAGCATGTGGCACTCAAAGGAGACAAGTTCCAGAACTTGTTTTTTTAAATCAGAATACCATTTTTGGAGGAGCAAAGAGTAGAACGTGACTACAACAGTCAACACGAGAAGCGGTACTTACCGCATGATAATGGAACATAGGAAGAATAATTTCATGGCAGTACCAAAGATGGCCTTATAAGGGAACTCATAAACGAATAAAAATACATCTGCTCTAGAAAATGTATCAACCTATGCAAATGTTGAAGTGCAACAATCCCTCTTCCAGAAAAATGTTTACTACCTAATATGAATAAAAACATATTCCAGCCAGCCCAATGCTTCAACTGGCTAACAAACCTATTCAGTTTGCATGAAAACATCAATACGCAGCCACGTACAAAAGTTGACTATTTACTTCCGACAGCTTTGCCACTAAGGAGGTTGCATCACTTCCTTATCTGCATATGCGTCTCCTTTTCAACCTTTGTGACCTACGGATTTATACCTTCAAAGTGGGATTAGCAAACACACATGCAAGCCTGGTTGCTTTTCATCACAGTAAGGTTATTCTAGCTACGATAAATGCATTGAAACACGTAGTGTAACTCATTGGTATAACGTCGAGCGTACAACCTCATTTCTCCGTAAGGCTCGTGAGTTGCCTGCAATGCCTTTTAAGTGTATCTGCTTACAGCAGCGGACTCTTGTGAAATCTGTAATAGCACTCGCCTTACCATGGTAGAGACAGCGATTTAAACGTGATTTGCACCTTTTATTATGTTTGAAGAAATATAAATGAAGCAAAAAAAAAAAAAAAAAAAAAAAAAAAGACACTTTTTAGGTATCTTAGCTTTCATGATTTTGTGTGTTACTTTAAATACATTCAAAACACAGAGTATGTTTGTTCAACCACATCAGAGTAGCGAAGCTTCGTCTGGGCCTCTCATACAATATATAAAAATTCAGTCTGATGCAGCAGCTCTGCTGTCCAGGGATGGCAGTATTACATAAAAGTAGCGAAATGCTCATCAGAAACGTCACGTTCCTTCACAGCCCTGCGTTTCTTGTGTACGGATCCTTTATTAAGTTAAATTGTTGCAAAGAACTGAAGGCATTTCTTCATATGTCTCCCTGTAAATTTAGGGGCTGTTGATATCACCAGATAAAACAATGCCTTTGTAAAATCTGTAATACTTTAATTGAAAGCATTTACAGATCAGTGTTTGGTGAAGGGGAAATGAAGTTTTCACTGCAACGCCAGGGTAGCCAGTGAAACGCGACTGTCACAACCCAGCTGTTCCACAGTTGGGTGCCTTTTAAAAAGGGCTGCTGATGTGGAACTACTAAAACATTTTGGCAGTCAGAGTTTGAGAGCCGAGTTGTAAGGAACATTGCCGCAGTAATGCAATGTGTTACAGGTTTCAGCTCTCAACAAAGTCCCAAGTTTACCACCCTACAGTAACGTGGCTTTTCTCTCACTACAAGGCAGTCTAATTAATTACAGCCATATATTCTACAGATGCTAAAATCACCTGAATTACATTCATTAATCTCCGCTTTTGTGACATTATGTGTGATCTAACTATGTTTCCACGGCAGGCTGATCAGGAATGCACTCTATCATTCATCCTGTTATGTCCCTACCTCGTTCAACAATCTCACAAAAAAAGGGAGCATCGCAATTCATTACGGAATCTAAGTGGGGTTTGGTTTGAGGGTTTTTTTTGGGGGGGGGGGGGGGGGGGTGGTTTATGTTTTTTATT